CGCCGGGGCAGGATGTGTCGGATCGCCTCAGTCTGCTTCTGGTCGCATTCGATTACGACAGTCAGTTCAGTAAAGCTCTCTCCAAGATCATTCTGTGTTCCCATTATACTTGATTTGTTAATACATGTCTATGATTTTGCAAAAAGGACTTTATCTTCTTGCCGGAGTTTAATGTTGTTTTGTTACTTGCTACCGGGTGTCTGTGAGAACAAAACACGGGCGTAGAAAAGACTATAAATTGTTTTTAACGTACACAGTAACTGAAATTTAAAACTGTTAAAAGAAAGGCTTTATAACTGTTGCACAGATATAATACACTACGCATCAATTTCTCTTCCCTTTGTGCTTTGGACTTTTTAATGCAAAGCGCTGCGTGCTGTGACTCCGTGTTGCTTCAAGTGCATCATTCTGCACACCGGGTGCGCATATTGTAAGCGCTTCGTGCCGTACTGTATTTGTTTTGTCCTATCAAATCTATCATATGTTGTTGCCTTATTAAAAAATATGCTATACATTTAAAAGAAATGTATTTTAATTTTATAGTGTATACTTATATATAAATACATTCATGAATGTTTTTCATTAATTTTATAATACAAATAGCATTAATTTATAATATTTTATAATACAAATAGCAATGTGTAACATTTTACCATATTTAGTGCAACACTTTTATTTGTTCCCCACAAAATATTTTAGTTTTATTTGTTCCCCACAAAATATTAGTTTTTTCACTAAATCTTTGGATTTCTAAAATTATTGTGCACTGATTTTTCTAGAACTTTTGCTGCTGAATTATCCACTAAACTAGTTTATGATATATTTTTGTCATAGATTACGAATATACATATATTTTTTTAATATTTATTGTTTATTTTTCTTTATAATGAAGTAGTCTGTATTTAGTAGAATGTAAAAGAATAATTATCAGTTCCACACACAGAGATATATAAATTCTACATTTATTTAAATGGAAAAAAAAACTTCACTGGTATCGGATCGGTATCGGCCAATACTGAACCCTAGGTATCGGAATCGGCATCGGAGGTGAAAAAGGCGGTTTGGAGCATCCCTAATTAAAAGTAGTAAGACAAACTTATCTTTCCAGTGCTGATGCCGCGCGCTCTCCTATTGTGGTCTTTGATCTTGAAATGAGCTGATAATTAATAAAATGCATCGCTTATCTTTTTTTTCCGTTGACGTGAACGCCGTTAAATTTAAATATAGCGCGGGAATTGAAGAGCAGATTTATATCCGTTTTGCGACGACACATTTTTGTGGCCAAGTGTAAATGGAAACGTTTGAACAAATCAGATAGATATCCGATCAGCGAAAACGCATGAAACAACCAGATGTAAACAGGCCCTATATTGGGTCCGTGGATAAACTCTTAAAGGGGCCGCAGTCCAGTATTCCTACTGCTGTCTGTCATGTGAATAAAAGAACAAAAGACAAAGAAAATCTCTTTCTGCTCTTGACTGAATACGTTTTATAACTTTAATGGTAAGAATTAATCTGTATTTAATTTTTACAATGAAGACTACAGAAATTAAAGTAATCAAATGTAAAATAACATCAAAAGAGATCGGAATCGGCCAAGAAAATTGCATCTCTAGATTTTACTACATATTTAAACTGAGCAGTGTGTTTTTTTCCGTATGTTTGACTGACTGTATTTTATGATGATAATGAAGAAGCTGCATTGTCATGGTAGCAATGCTTAACTGTGTGCGCGCATGCGGCGCCGGCGCAATCACTTACATTTTTTCCTTCTAACAGTGGAAGCAACTACTCCTTTTAGTCATAAAGATAATCGAAATTGTAAACGGTTTGCTTTTATTTGTGTACATTCACAATAAAAACAAATCTTTGTGCTTTTGTAAAATAAGCCTAACGAAAAATAGGATGCCGTTTTCTGCCGTCTGGTTTCCTTTCGCGCAGCACAAAAATGAACCGAAACTCTGCATACTAGGTGTCGTGATTCACACGGGGAGCACGGGAATGAAGGAGCGAGGAGACAAAGATTAAAGCAAATCCAAAGTCTTTAATGCAAACACAAAACTGGGAACACGGGAAACACAACACGAGATGACGTTTAACAGCGGACGGGAAACGAGGGGCAGAACACACTTT